TGGGCAGCGGCACATTCCTATTTTAGGGACCGAACATTCCACGTGCATCCCCTTAAATGATAATTCTTATATTTTTTGCCACGGTCGTCATCAAAAGGGGGGTCTCTCATCCGAGGCTGTTCATGCTTTTCCATTGGTAGTCTTTTTTACGCAGCAGACCTCAAAGTCGTCTTCAAAAGGGTGTTTTCTGGCTAACCAGAGGATATTTGGTTAAAGACCGGAAGTCGTGAGCTGCTTGAGCCATATGTAAAAGAATCGTTTCTGGCCACTTCCAAGTGAATTGCAATCAGAGAACTTTCCTCACTTGCTTGAAATTTTACATATGACTCCATCCCCTACTTGCAGCTGTACACTCTTATACAATCCCTATTACGGTATTGTTGAAAACTACCAAAAGCGCAATAAATCAATAACAAAATACACCTGACAGACCGATTTCGGAAAAATTTGGTGCGTAATATTGCTGTCATATTCCTATATCACAGTGCGAAAATAGGCGAAATCGGACTACAACCACGCATACTTCCCATATAACACAATTTTAAATTATACTTGATTCGTTCACTTTCTAGTACATAAAATAAGAAGTAATTAATATAACGGGGTGGATAGTGTATTGTACCAGTACCGATACGGATATTTGACTTTTGATAAAATTATCGGTCATTGTGTGAGATATATAAGTGAAGTTAAGAGATAATCCTTCTCTTCTATGTCTGTCTGTGTTGAATCGGACCAATACTTCCCTTAGCCCCCATATAATTAATATAAAGATTTTCGAATTTCCGAGTGAATTTGTACCGCATATATCGGCCAATATGTGAGTTATCCCAATGATAACCGAGACCGTGTTTTATTCATAACGGTGTGTCTTTGTGCCTAAAAAATATATATTTAAGCGAAAACTTGGCATAGGCCCTATATAACAAATATCAGGGTTTCCGAACATCCTTGATGATTGTTTTTTTTGGTACGTGACATATTAATAGTACGATTTTTGTTTTTCTAACAAAAATTATGTATCTTTCAGTATAGGAGTTAGAATATATATAGTATAATATATAAAATTGTTTGGATTTCGATCCTCCGTTTGAGAGTTTATACCTTAAAGTGTTTACTTGAGTTTGATTCTTGCAAGTTGCAAGAGCATAAAATATTCGGTTGCATCCGAACTTAAGCCTTCCTTACTTGTTTCGTAGATATCATTGTTTTCTTCGATAAAACGCGGAGAAATTTTTATTGTAATATTTTGATTCAAAATATGTAGTATAAATTTTCCATCATACTTGGACTAATATCGGCACAACCATGATTTTCAAACGAAAATTGTAACATAAAAATATCTGTTTTTTAAGTCAGTAAACGTTTGCTTGCGTCTGAAAAATATCCAATTTACTATGAAAATTTTTCTCAGAAAATGCAAAAACAGAACTCACTAAACTATTCAAATTTGCTTATATATTTATTTCATCATTTTCAAAGGCATCTCCACTGGTCTATGAAGTGTATTCAAAGAAAGCAATTTTTCATATGTCCATATATAGAAAATGCATGTTATGGCACTCATAAGTTGTATACTGAATTTTGCAGAGTTATCCTCATATCACTCACCAATTACTTTGCGCCCGCCCAACTATGTTCACTGTCATTGCTTTATACGTCACTGTCATTCCAATAGCGGAAATCAATTAGTTCAGTTTGTGAGCTTGAAAAATGAGCGCATTTATAGTTGTCGAGTCTTTTATGAGATTGTATTACAAATCCGCTCCTATTCGTTAATTTAGGATTTTTTTCCAAAACGCTTTCAACTTGCAACTACAACGCTGCATTTGTTGCACTTGGCAGGTGCTTCGCGCCTCAGTGCGCCGTTTTGCAATGCAATTATATGAATATTATTTTAATGAGAACTAATTCAATTAAATCGTGTTGTGCCAGCGCTGATTCGACGAAGCATGACAATACAAACAAATACATGTAGCCACTGCAACAAATTCGCCTGGTGTGCTTAAAGCCCACGTTGGAGCTGCGTTGCGCTTAAGCTGCCAGCGCTACGTGGCTCATTAGCAAAGCCAGCGAAAAAGAGGTGAAAAAAGTATTGACTAAAAATTAGCAATACAATGTGTTTTTTGTATACAAAAATACAAAAACAGAATATTCCAAAAAGAAGTTGTTGCAACTTGAATACGTTTTCGGCTTTCTGTTGTTGTTCTTTGCTTGTTTAGTTTATGGCCTGCCGTTTTTATTACAGCTAAATACGCAAAGTTGTAGTGAGCATACGCTCAGTTGGCTTTTGTCTGGTGTTTAGCTTTTATTACACAATTTTCATAATCTACACGTTCGCACATAATTTACACTTGAATACGGTTCGCGCTCGCTCGCTCGCTTACTTATTTATTATTAGCAATTAAAGTGAGCGCAACGACAACTCATGTCGCGACCGCCCCGCATGTGCACCAACACACTGACCACGCAACCGCTATAGCCACTGGTCACTAGCCACCACTTGGCCGTCTTTGGTCAACAGGCGAGTGTAGCGCTAAACAAAGCGAGCCGTCAACCCCAATTGAGCGGTTAAGCGCGTTGAACGGCGTCCTCTGTGGCTAAAACCATATTTGTGGTGGCGGTGGCAGTGGCTGTACCGCCGATATCGTAAATCCATCAGCGGCCAAATTTGTGACAGGCTTTGACAAATTTTTAAGGCCCTCAAAGGAAAAATGCCGCCAAAGCCAAAACGGCAACGGCCCTGGCCATCCACCACTACTGCTTGAGGTGGAATAGTATATTTATTGCTATTGCTATTGCTGGAAAAAGGCCATAAGATATGTTTATGCATATACATATATATATTTGTTGTAAAAAATGATATACCTTTTGTCTACGTACATATGTAAGTTTGTGTGTACGTTGCTGCTGTAAATTCCATTGCATAAAAAGGCTATGCAAGGACTAAGAAAGTATTTTGGTCAATTCGAATGTTTGTTGAGTTCAATTTTCTATGACCACTCGTACTATATTTGCTGTTATTGGCCATAGAGTAGCTCAGAGTATGCAATTTTAAAGTTCTTTTAATTGATTTTAATACATAGAAAATTCTATCCTAGCTATTTATGAAAATAAATTCTAATATTGTGTACGGAGGTAGACTTAAGAAGGGAGATTGCTTTTGAGGCCTAAAATAATCGATTTTTTGAGGAATTTTTTGGGAGGGATAGAATTGATTGAAAAGCGAAATTTCCAGATCTTATAGTTATATATTTATATAGTTATATACGAAATCTTTGATATTTTGCCTTTGGGAATAGATTTGGTAAGTATAGTTCCTAACAATAGAGCCTTATTCCCATACAGTCCTAACCAAAGTTTTAAAAATTCTTGTAGTAACCAATTATTAATTAAACTGAAAACACCTTCTGCTTACAAGACTTTATGAAAACTAAAACTAAGCTAAGAGTCTATGGTAACTAACAAATCAAGAAAGTTAAAATTTGCTCTAGTAAGTATTACACCATACCACTAAATTGTTTAAGGAGCTACATGGGTTTACGGGCTTCGAAAAATCGATTTTTTATTACGTTAATAAATTCTACAATATCTCTAGAATATTCTTCTAAATTTTCAAATTTATCCGAGTAATAGTTTCGGAGACTCAGCTTTAAAGGAATTTTGCGCTGGTGTGTCTTTAAATGCCTTTTCCTCGAAACTGTGTTTTTGAAGTCGGTTGGCAAGATTTATGAGAACTAAACAACCGATATTCTTGCAATTTTTTTCGATTACAACTATTTGAAAAAAAGTCGCGAAATTGTAATTTGTAAAAATTTTGCCAAAAATCCGTTTTGCAGTATTTTTTTCTTCGTCCAAGTTCTAAGTTAACATTTTTACTAAAACACGAACTATTTCACTTTAGATGATCCTGTAAAGAGTTATCCTGCTAATGCTGGTGCATCTTTTTTCCGAGGGGCCATCGCAAATTACGTTGCAATGACCGAGTTTAAAACATTTTTTTTTTTAATTTCGAAATTTCTTTTCACTATGTTTGTTACGCTTAAAAATTCTAATAAAATATTTAATTTTTTATATGATATTTATTTTACCCGAGGAAACCCATGTAACTCCATAACTCACAGGTGCACAGGAACTTGATTTTGATCTATAAATTTGTATTGCAACAATATGCTATCGCGGTTCGATATCGGGGGTTGACAAAAGATCTGCTTTTTATAGAAAAAATACAATTTTAGTATAAAAAGGTGCTTCCAAATTTAAAATTCTGATGTATTATTTGACACTACGGGTCCATTTGTCTATCATTCGGTTAATAAATAAGTTATACCAACCCCATTCGTAACATATGAAACGAGGTAGCTTTATATTGGGTTCTCAGTTCAAGTTCCTCCTTTAACCCTAGCATTAGCATTGTATTTCTCAATTCAGTATCATGGAGTTTCGTTGATTACTATAAATACCCACTTGGAAAGTCTTATATGTGAACAAGAAAAAAAAGTTAACATCGGTTGCATTGAAGTTACAATACCATTTGATTGTTCTGGTTTTATGGCAAAAATATGCTATATGTGATCCGATTTTGGCAGATTTGACAAATTAGCTGTATCGTTGGGAGAAAAGAACGTTTGCAAAACTTCTGATCGATAACCTAACAACTGACGGTCTAGTTTTAAGTACATATATAATCGATCAGTTACCTCTGCATGGTTCAGCGAAGTTTCATATTATGGATACACTTGAGATGTGAAAATAACTACTGGACAATTTTTATGATATATAGTATTTAAAAAATATTCTAAGCAGCATATGCCTCAAGGCCAAGTGGGAGAGAACATGACTTAAAATGTTTATAAATTTAAATTTGTATACCAAAGTTCTCTACTTATATGAAAGCTATATTCTCTCCTTAAACTGTGAACATACATCTATTTTACATTATCGTTAATAGCTAAAAATGCTTCAATAAATACGAGTGATTAATACTTTTCTATTTCCAGTATCTCACGGCTGGTGGTGCTTTATCCAATCTGCATCCCATCTCACCATCTCCGTTAGCCGCCACGAATCCTGCTCATCCACCTGCCTCGATCAGTCCGCCCTCCAATGGGCATGATAGTAATGTTAGCAGTACTGGTGTTGGTGGTGGTGTCGATCTCAATAGTGGCACACTAACGCCCGATCCTGCCTCGCAACCTTCAAATACCGGCACACCCAGCGCGGCAGGCAGTAGCGCCAGTGCGAGCGGCAGCATCGACAGCAGTTCGCTGGAACCATATGGCACATGTGCAACTGTCGATCCAATGACGGGTTTACCACCACCTTCAGTAACACAACATTCGCTGTCCGCTGGCGCAGTTTGCTGTGATAATGGTCGACCAGTTATGACAGATCCGATGACGGGTCAAACGGTTTGTTCATGTCAATACGATCCAACTCGTTTGGCTTTGAGTAGTTATGCGCGTATGCAGTCGGCAGCGGCAGTAGCGGCTTCGGCTGGGGTACAAACGCCTAGCGTGGGTGTGTACGGTACACCATATCCCTCGAATGAGCAGAATCCGTATCCCAGTATTAGCGTCGACAGTGGGCCCTTCTACTCAAGTTTGGTAAGTCAGAACATTTAAAGGATAACTACTTATTTACATAAGTATCCATTTTAATCGCAATGTTTTATTGAAAACAAAATATCACTGATTTACAGTAATTTTGCGACTGTTATGTTAAAAGTTGTTTCTTCATTTAACTAACATTATAGTTCTCTAGTACTGGATCGGTTACCAAAATTACTACATTTTTTGGCTAACCCAAACCGACCAGACCATAACGTAATTACTGGCAGTTATAAATCTGATAAATAAAAGGCACCACATTCTCCTTGGCAGAATAGAGACAGGTTGGAGCTCTGGTGTGTTCTTGCGATATACAGCTACATATATAAACATTTACTTGGAACATGAAAAGTATTATACTGGTTAGTTGAAAAAGTCTTTTCGTATTTCTAATCAAATTAAATTTTTTTATATTTATAATAATAAGCAAATAAAGAAATATGTACCATTTTGGTTGACCTCTTTTTGCATGTAGTTTGCTAGAGACGTTATTCTATCAGTGTAAAACTTTCATCGCTGTAAATCGAAATTTCGAAACTTCCAGAACGGAAGCGAGTGAACTGATACAGCATCGCCTCCGTAACCTTCACAAATTTCATTGGTGGCTTGCATAGCATTCTTCCCTTTTTAATACAAAAAATTGAAAATATAAAGAATTTCCTCAATATTTTCACTCATTTTTGAACAACTCTAACTTTTTTTCAACTTCCCTGAATTTAATTTTTTTTGGTTAAATGAAGCTTAAAATCTCACCTTCCAACACTATATGGTATGAAAGAATATGATTGGTAGCACTGGAGATATGCGACTGCAACGACATCTATTGACAAAATACGAAAAGAATTTTTCGGCTCATTAAACATAGTAGTATTTATACAGTTTAATATCATGGTGGAAGATTTTCAAATCGATCTTGTAACATCAAATCCTATGCAATACTACTACTAATCCAAAACACATTATCAAGCGTAGACATGCGGGTTACATACTTTCTTGTAATATATAAGCTGTAGTCAGTTCGTGTATTGAAAAGTCTCACAAAAAAAAAAAAAAACCATATGGACCAAGTTTTGAGAATCTTTCAAGACCTTCATCTGCAGTGACTTCAATGTCATGATGGGTGTGTAGCAACGTATTGCGGTATTTTTGCGGTATTTTTATTGAATTTTCAATTGTTCATAAAATTTTTTTTGATGACTCATATCCAGCTGTTGACCGATGCTACGGCTGTTACTATACCGGTCTGGTGTGTGGGGGAGTCCGCCACTGCCTGTTGATGTACACGCAGTAGGAAACATCGCAACCCTTCCTTGTTGGCAGTGTCGATATTGCGAGGTCAAGACGAATCTCACAGTTTTTGAAAGATGAGAGGAGTTTTTTTCCACCTTTAAAATTCCTTTAACTTTACAATCCTCAAACGCCTCACAGGTCCAAAACGTTCAACTCAAATCCGTTATGTATGCTAAATATGGCAGTTCGATGATTAGGTTATGAAAAAAGAAAAAATTGGTTTTCATTTACTTTTTTTTTGTTTTTAGAAAATATTCAATTTTCCAACAATTTCGATAGATCTCTTAAGTGCTTTAAGCTCCTACACAGCGTTCACTATTCGCTTAATATTTGCCAGAAATATCTGAGTTCCGCTCTCGTTCATACACATATTATAGCGTTATACCATTTAAATGTATGCATTTTGTGGCCGTTTTTCCTCTCTTTAGTCTCTTTTGTTGCATTATGTTCTTATTTCGCTTTCGCATTTCTTGTCTATATTTGTCGACTCGTTTATAAGCTTGTAAAGTATTTTGTGTTCATTTATTCAGTTGCTTTGCGGGCATTTGTGGCTAATTCTCTAGCGCCCACCACCATCCCTAAGCCACAACAACAACAATGCCACCGCCAGAACCGCCAGCGCCATTGTCCACAAATAGACATATTGTGGGGCAATACAGTCACCTCTCGGCGAACTAAATGTCACTGTCATTTTGCTTTTGTTTTTGCTTTTAATGTGGGTACCCAGCGGATTTTTGTTGTTATTCCGCTGGCTGCCTACATGTATTTGTGTATGTTTGTGTTTCGTGCCGTCTGCTTATTTGGTTTATTGTTGGTGTACTTTTCTTGTTCGACTGCGGTTTGCGGATTTGCATTTCGCATTTCCCATTTCCACTAATTTCGCTTCGTTTTCCTCTGTTCGCCGACTTTGCTTGGCATTTGGCACATTTGTTTTGCTTTGCAAGTTGAAGGTTTATGCTTCACGGAGCTTTTGTGCCATTGACGTTGTTATTATTGCATTCGTTATTATTATTATTATTATTGTTCACTGTTGTTTTTATGCTATTTTGATTGTTGTTGCTGTTTGCATCTAAGCATCATATAGGCTTGCGTCTTATTTTCGCTTTGCAGTAACATTTGCCCCGGTTGGAAAACCTAAACTAGTGATTCTTATGTTCGCATAGAGATTTGTAGGAAACTTCTTCTGTTCTTCCTTTCCGCTGTTTGCCGCCAATTGGAGATTCCTACACTTGGAACCTACACCAGGTCCTTCTCCAGCTAATCCTTTCAAAGCAGGGAAGATCTTTCTCTTCCTGTGCCTCCCCCGGCGGGTTCTGCGGCGAATACTTTCGGAGCTCGAGCGATTTCATCCATTTGGGCGACATGACCCAACCAGTGTAGCCGCTGTCTCTTAATTCGCTGAACGTATATCTTGTACTGCTCATCATTTCATCGAATGCGATATTCGCCGTTGCCAATGTGTAAAGAAGCATACATTTACCGCAAAACCTTCTCTCGCAAACTTATAAGGTCGACTCTTTAGATGTTGTCATCGTCCATGTCTCAGCACCACATGGAGTCAAGAGACTCCAAAGTAGCACCAAGTTGGCAAGAGTTATTCTGCGTTGGATTTCGAGGCTGACATTGTTGCTGACAGTGAAGATTAGTACTTACAATACCGTCCTCATATTGGCATAGACCGTAGGATATCAAGAAATCATACTACAGATTGTTGCTTGCTCTGTAATCATGCCTCCGAGAATTCTGAAAAGATCATTAATGATATATCAAAAATTTCAAAGAAAAAAGGGGAAAACCCTTGTCTGTTCCTGCTGGTATATCTCGGTGCAATCCACCTTCAGTATGAAGAATATCATACATACATACATACGTACGAGTATATTCACATACATAAATGCTATGATTGTCTTCCAGCGTATTATGGAAGTTGTTCAGCTTTGACGATTATTGTTATTGTTTTCTGTGTATTGTTGTTTTTGTTTTAATTGTTATGCTGTTGTTGGTATTATTTACACTTAAAGTCTTATGTGCATTTTATTTTTGCCTTATCTTGCCTCGCCTTTTTATAGTAAGTCTGTTGCATCTTTTTCTGCTTAATGCTTCTCAAGTTTCCACTCATCGCTGAACCGCATGAAGCCGAATGAGTAGGTGAGCTTCGATGCCTATCAACCGCCTCCCTTCTGCTGTGCCGTGTGCCGCAGCTGTCAGCACCTGGTGCATTTCTAGCTATTCATGCTTACTCGGTATGCATCTCTGCCTGCCTGCCAGTTTAATGTGACGTCCGTCCGCCTGGCGGGTTAATGTGCTCATGTTATGACAACAATTATTGTAAATGTCACAAATTAGTTTTGCAATTAGTTTTGCATATGTATATTGGCTTTATTGTTAATTACGCCATTGTTTTTATAATGTGTAACATGATGCCACACATTTTGTTGTGGTTTTGTTTTATGTCCTTGGCTTGTCTCGAGATTATTTTTCAAAGCTTATGCAGATATATAAGTAAAACATGCTTGCAGCCATGTATATATCTTAGTGGTAATCAACATCAACTTTTAATCGTATTTCAATGAGACTTCTTTGAGAATACTACTGGTTGAATCTTGGCTGGATTCTAATACTTAATTAAACGGGATAAGTCAATATATATTTAAGTATTAAGAATTGTGTTCAAAATGCATAAAGCTCCCAAAATTTCCGAGTCCTGAACTTAAACTATAATAATATAGACTGTTATAGAATTAAAATAAATATGACAGTTCTTGGAGATGCCAAACGAAAAAGTTCTCTTGTTTTATTTCGCTTTGCACTTATTTACCCGGATGTCTTAAAGCACGAAGTTCGCGGTGTTTTTGCATTAAACTAACAAAAGCGGGAAATTCAAGGAGAAGGTGTTGAGATGATTTCATCATTTCTTCTTCTAAACTGCTGATGCAGCTGGTATCTGATAAAATGTTCAATTTTAATGCATGAAGCCCGTTCGAACAGTATGAACTCTTATAACCATGAAATGGTGAACCTTTCGACTGCACAGCTGCTCATAGTTGACCAGGGCATGCTGATTTGGTATAAGATCCAATAGTCCACTAGTGAACTACAAGATGAAAACAAAGCTCCTAATGGCTCAATTAGGCTTACAATTTCCTGCAACACCATCTTTTCACTAGTCTTGAGCGCCCAGTTAGCGTACTGAAGGTTAATATCGCTATCCTACTATCGGAGTGGATAGTCACCAATCTGAAGGAGGCTGCACTCCATAGCAAATGGCCTACTGCTGACTTTATAGTAGCTTGGGAGGCGCAACACTAGCCAGGAGGCATGAAAAAATGAAGCTGATGGAAAGTTTCCGATAGCGTACTTCTCCACCAACCGCAAGCTCCTATAAAAAAGCTCACCTCCAGCTAGTCCTTAGCTCCTACGCCTCCCACGAAGGTATGCCAGTAAAGAAATTACAGCCAAGGCTAGATTCGCCGACCTGGTAATCCAAATTTTTTGGTGTGCGAGGATTGCAGAGAGATGATGTGCCAGTCTGAGAGTAGTTTTCGCAGCTAAAGGTATGTCCACTGGTGCCATATGTGGCAGGAAATTCAGTGCCATAATTAGTGTGGTTCGTAGTGCACCACAAATACAAATGAACGCTTCTTCGCGTGTTTAGTTTTTGAAGCACCTTCCAATATTATACATATAAGCATTTTGATTAAATGCAC